TCATCATCATCATCTCAGCCATAGGACGTCCACTGCTGAACTTTATGATGTTATCGGTCCACCCTGTGGGTGGACGTCCCACGCTGCGTTTTCCGGTACGCGGCCTCCACTCCAAATTCAAATTATTTATTGCATGTCAGCAAGGTTCCTGCCCCATCGACCGTCAGTTCTGCGTACTATGTGCCCTGCCCACTGCCACTTCAGCTTGTATCCGTCGGGCTAGTATGTCAGCGAATCTGCGATCTCGTAAAGAAACACCGAGCATAGCCCTCTCCATAGCACGCTGTGCAATTTGAGCTTCTGTATAAGGCCTATAGTGAGAGGCCACGTTTCCGAACCATAAGTCATCACTGGTAACACACATTGGTTGTAGACCTTAGTCTTCAGGTACTGAGGTATTTTGGATGAAAAGATGTTGCGTCGTTTCCCAAACGCTGCCCAGCCGAGTTGGATATGACGATTGACCTCTTTCTCGAAATTGGACCTACCCAGCTGAATCGTTTGTCCGAGGTAGACATACTTGTCAACAATCTCAAAAATTGAGCTCCCAACCGAAACTNTCGGACACCGAGCCCACAGCGTGGTAGGGGTGGGGTTGCCCGCTTTTTTGTTTTTTAATACTACTACGCTGAATATTGTGTGCGGATTGGGTTGTCGTACAGGGTTACTACATGGTAAAATAAATCTCGGAGGCGAAAGCAGGATAATTTAAACTAGACTACTACAGGTTTTAAAAGTTGATCTTACATACCTACGAATAATAAAGCTCAAGCTACACTACGCGATTTGGGGTTACCTACGCCATATCGAATGACAAATGATCGAAAATCAAAATATCGAATACGTTTCATCGAACGATCAAAATATCGAACGATCAAAATATCGAATGCTCAAAATATCGAACGTTCAGAATATCGAACGTTCAGAATATCGAACGATCAAAATATCGAACGATCAAAATATCGAAAGTCGATATAGACGTTTTTATTTTTCATCTACCTTCCTCGGCTCCTTGCTGAAGCGTTGTTATTGCCGTACTGCTACAATTAAATTTATATTTTTGTGTACAATACCAATATAATGTTTCATCAACATTTTTGTTCATTGTCATTACAAAGCCCTCCAAAATGAGGACTGTTTTTCCTTTTTGGGATAGGCTAGGCTTATAATAGGTCCCCACGGACATTATTCTCCAAATTTATAAACTTTTCAGGCACAAAAATACTTAAGGCACACATTAACTGGCAAAACAAAACTGTACGACCAAACACAACCATGCACCGGAGCCGAGCAAGGTAGATGAATTAAATAAAAACGTCTATATCGACTTTCGATATTTTGATCGTTCGATATTTTGATCGTTCGATATTTTGATCATTCGATATTCTGAACGTTCGATATTTTGAGCATTCGATATTTTGATCGTTCGATATTTTGATCGTTCGATGAAACGTATTCGATATTTTGATTTTCGATCATTTGTCATTCGATATGGCGTAGGTAACCCCGCGATTTGAGTAGCTTCAGCCTTTGTAATAGCGCGCTACAAGCAACAAATAGGTACCTACTTATAGATTTTGAGCGACATTGAGCTACAGGTAGGTAAACATAAACCAGAAAAGAATTCTTTAATCAACATAGAACATGTTAACATTTTGAGAAACTTAATAATAAGTAAACACTATGCCTGAAAAAATGCTTTTACTAATCTTAGTTCATGTGATACTTAGAGATGAACACTAGAACATTCATTCTTAATATTATACCTACAATACCTAGTAATAATAAGATACAAAGTCATCTGGGTCGCCTAATCGATCGCATCGCACTGCGTCGCTCTCACATTTTTTTTCGTTTCAGATTATTTCAAGGACCTTCATCTGGGTATACTACGCACTATTCATTTATTTGCGATAGTTTGCGATTGCGATTAGATTTGGTGGCCTTACTAACATCAAATATACAAGAAATATTCCAAGTCCTAAAAAATGGCACATACATTTGCATAATATTAATTTTATACATTTAATATTTTGGCTTAGGACTATAAGAGTTTAGGCTACGTACTTGTCATGATCATGGTTTGTTTAATCAATATCAATAGGGCTTTCGCTAAAATGCGCTACGTTTGCACATATTATGACATGCAAACTGAACTTGAATGATCAACATTTTTTACAAACACATACTTAATTATGAGAATTTTAGTACAATGAGATTACACAATACTTAAAGCTATTAATACACAGTAGTAAGGATTCACAAAATACTGTTTCTAAATTATGTCTTAGGTCTTAGAACAAAATGGGTTGAAATTGGAATCTAACACTATGGAAAATGGTTTCTGAAATAAATCATTTGAAAAGTAAAACTTGAATTTAAAATTGAAATTAATTAATATTGTCAACAAAAATATTTTAGGCAGAAAATGATAATCAATATAAAGATAAGTATTTAAATTCAGCGTCTATAAATGAGATCTAATACATTCTTAAATGTAGATTGATGTTTTTAATTTTCATCTGCAGGAACCTCAATTTGAAACGCCATTTTGAATGATGCATCCTCATCATTGGTACGAACAAGGCATGCTTCTTTTCCTGCTTCTAATTTCACTGGTGGGTTGATCAAAAATAATGTGCCATCTATGAAGCTGCCAGTTCGGTTCGTAGAGACGACCCCGATGTCTTCAGTAAGCTCAATTTCATACCAACACAAGATTGCAGTTGCATCTCCTGAGTGGGTAACAGGAAAATTTACTAAATCGGTTCTTAAGCCACTATACAGTGGACCAATGTAACATGCTTCTGTCAAAGGGGTGTTTGGCAAATTGGAGAAATCAATGCAAAAGTTTTGAGTCACTTCATATCTGTTGATGTGCTCAGCCAATTTGTATGTTTTTGTATTTGAATCATACACTCTGTTGTTTACATCCAACCATGGACTATTTACTATCTGGCCCATCAGTTTTATGTTAGCTGGCATGACCAAACCTCCTGGCATAAGATTATTAGTCTTCAACTGCAGTGCAATTTCACTAAGTCTCAAATCAATATCCCCGCTTAAATCAATCACATTGCAGAATAGTGCATGAAATTTTTCATCACGAAATATTTCATGATTCCATTCTTCTCCTTCCAATACATTTATCCTGGATAAGTCGATTTTATTGATTTCTAAAACTGTCCTGATGAATGCATGGTCATTTTCAGTTTTAGCATAACAAGTTAAAGATTGAGCACCCCTTTTAAGCATGAGCATCCCAAACATAGGGAATGGGCATAGATCAACAATATTTATATGAGACAGATCAGCCATCTGCCCCAAATAAATGCATGACATACCAATGCATGAACCAATAGTTTTCATAAAGTGCTCATCATTCAAGAACCGGATTGCTTCTGGGGAAATCCTTGTGATATACGATTCGCTCCAAGGCAGCATCGTAAGTTTACTACCATTCAATAAAAATTCAGCATCAATCACTTGGTCTTTCTTCACAATTTTTGGGACATTATCGTAAAAAATAGCCTGCTGCCAGGCAGTAGCCCTGGTCTCAGCTCTTGGATCTGTCGTTAGGGTTATGCTTTCTGTGAGGTACAAATTAAACCACCCTATAATTAAATTGATCTCATTATCTTCGTTTGCAGTAAATTTTACTTCATATGGTTCAGTATGGTTAAGTTTTTCTTGGACATCACGATAATCATTGAAGTCTACTTGAATCAGAGATTGCGGTTCAGAAATATATTTAACATCTTCAATGAAAGGAATGTCTTCACAGTCATATGGCTCATCATCTGATATAATATGGACATTCATATCAGTGATTTTCAGTAATTGTTTAGCAGCTACTCCAAGCTGATATTTTTTGTGGAGTGAGTCTGATCGAGCAGCAACAACAAAGAATTCTGCTTTGTTAGGGATAAATCGAGTGGTTGGGATGGTGAAGTACTCCCAGGCGTGATTTAGAGTGCGTAGAACATGCTCACCAAAGAGACCAGCGTCAAACATCTCTGTAACCACTAGAGATCTCTTGCCACCAATATCCCTATAGTTCATTGTAGTAGACATCCTGTTAACTATAACAATGTCAGGCATGCCATTGCCTTGCGTGACACACTCAGCAATCCAAGCCATTAGTTCTGAAGCTTCAATACCAGTGACAGCAGTAGGAGAAAACTCACTTGCAAACATTGCTAATATCCCAGTGCCTGTGCCAATATCAAGGACACTGTCTTTGTATGGAATAGAAGTCTCCTCTATTGCACTAAAATAGGCATCATTGCGGATCCTGTCATTCAACATTCTGTAGTGCCATCTTTCAAAGAGCACATTTTTCAGGGAGTTAACATTTTTTTCAGCATTGACAAATGTAGGATTGAGTTTCAGTGCCTTTTGGAAGTGGGACCATGATTCAGTGTAGAAGCCGAATTTGTAAAGGTATTTGCCGATATCATTCAGTAGGAAGCAGTTGCTGGGAAATGCATCAACCGCCTTGGCAAAGTTGGCGAATATATCCTCAATTTTGCCGGCGCTCATGAGGATCTCATTAAGCCGGATTAGCACTACGCGGAACTCTGCAGTGCAACTCTCTTTCACCCGCGGATCTTTTTCGAAAGCCAGTATGTACTGATCGAATGCTTTGCTGTAACCTCCAGTCGAAGAGAGCTTCCTAGCTTGCTTTAGGAGCTCTCTTGCTGCTTGCGCGTCCGTTGCCATGATGTTGTTCAACTAGCCGCCAATAAATACGGCAAAAGCCGAGAAGTACTTACTGAACAGTCTTCCAGGGGTAATCAATTGAGCTGATCCATTCGGCAGGAGAAAACAATGATGCGATCGCCGTTCAGTATATTATTTTGTCACGCAGTTTACAGTATCCAAATAAAACTGCAAGTGCAACACAGAAGAAAATCAATACTTTCGAGTTTGACCACCATCAACCAAAAGTAAACATCTGACAATGACATTGACAAACTGGAACTGTCAATGTCATTAACTTTTTTTTATAAGCTGTATGGCTTTGAAGACTATCCAAACAGTCAATAACCGTTTTTTGAAATAACTTGGCCATTGACCATGATCACATTGCAAATTCCTTGGATTAACTTAGGTCCTTCTTCCACTACGTTTTATCACCCGCACGCAATTTCTTGCCGTCTTGGTCAATACAATACTCTCTAATTTGTAGAAGCGACTTCTACAGAATACAGGAGGAAATTAAGTTCGGCTTGGGAATAGAACCACCTTAAACCAATAAAAACATTTATTTATATGTCTAATAGCTACATTGTACTTAAAACTAAATATTTAGGTAGGTAGGTTTTACATAGCGTGAAAATCTACTTCATTGCCACATGGCACGACTTGTATTGACTAACACAGTTGACCAAGGGCCACATTGAATCTCTGTGTCATTTTCACATTGGAATGCCTTTGTGAGATGGTGCAATTTCTGATGATCATCTGGCGAAAATCCCAGTTGTCCATAATTGTTGTGCCCAGAAGTCCAGAGAGAGTTGTCCTCTAGCATCACTACTGAGTGTCTGGACCCACAGCCCACGTCTTTGATATCCAAGTGGATTTCTTCATCATTCTCATCCAGTACATCAACTAATGTTGGGAGAGGATAGCTTTTTAAGCCTTCTTTGTTCATAACTCCTTTAGAATTAGCATGTTTGACCCCCAACTGGCCAGTGTCATTCCAGCCCCAGGTGTATAAGTCTCCAAACTCACTCAATGCAAAGCAATGCCATCCACCAGCTCTAATTTTTGTTATCTCAATGCCCGCTAAAGCTTCAACTTCAGTGGGTACATCAAGGTTGTCTAAATCACCATGGCCCAGTTGCAGTCTCCTAAAAAAAATTAAGAAAAATTAGTCACATATTAAGATGATTAGTAAACCAGAATATGAACAGATAAGACATTGTTCATTCACAATTACCTTCCATTTCCCCAAGTGTAAACTCTGCCTGCATCTGTAAGCAGCATATAGTGTTCATAGCCACACTGGACATCCACAACTTTTCCCATACAGTGACTTGTATCCAGGAGGCTCGGCATAACGCCGCTGTACACTCTTCCATCAGTGGTAAGAATCAAAACAGAAATATTCGTCGTCACTACCTGAAGTATTTGACTTTCCCGACGTGCCCTCTTCGAACTGTTTTCCAATGGAGCCTCTACATTTAAATTCACTTTCTTGATGCTGTTATCTTCTAAATCAATAAACCACAAAGTGTTAGCCCGTTTATCCACCAGTATGAGACTGTAGTCGTTGCCAACCAGTGCCAGATTTGATTCAGCATCCGTAGTATTGCAATCTTCGGGCAATTCCACCCTTCGTACTAATTGATTTTGTTGGCCGTTCCAGTCACCGGTCAAATAAAACGCACTACCATTTCTATAGATGTTATAAGACCAATTTATTTCGCATAATTTAGCGTTTGAGTTGGATTCACTTATGTTGTTACCTTTGAGTAGTCGGAATTCTGGGATTATACGGTCTTCTTCAAGCCATTGTCCGAATAAATTAGAACCTGTAACTGTATACATTTTCAGGAATTAAACAAACAAATTAATGGTTTATTTACGGTGATTACAGCTGTTTTGTGTTTTTTTACTTTTTCTTTTATCTGTGCTTGGCAGGGCACCATAGAGTAAAGTAACTTGGCACTTTGATTTATTTTAGTTGATTAACCGTTTAGTTCTACAATGAAATCTATAAAAGTTTTGGTAAAATATTTTGCTCATTAGATAAAACGATTGTTGTATTTCTCAAATAAAACTGTCACTGAGATTTACGAAAACAAATTAAATATTACTAATTATACTATCAATCAAGCTTTGTTGAAACAAAACGCCAGTAGACATTTTTCGTGGTAATGAATGGAGTACGCCGGTAAGAAAGGTAAGTTTTTAAGTTATTTTCTACTCAAAATATCCCCTTTTAGTATTTTTCGATAACATCACACGATTCTCTTTCCTTTGAGGTACATAATTTGTATAAATAGGACCTTTTTTTTGCAGATGTGATGATAAGTTCCGTAAAGTTTTTAAGAAATCAATATGGCCCTCAAGCTGGGGAAATGCAGACTTTGTCTGAAGCTTGGCGACTTTTACTCCATCTTCACCGTGGACAATGCCATCCAACTGGCAGAGATGGTCATGGAATGCGCCCGGGTGAAAGTAAGTACAATGTTTATGAGGCCATTTCCATCCTATCTTCCATATTTCAGCTGATTCGTAGGAAAACGACACTTGCACAGTAATGTCATTCTAAAAGGTAATTTGAACGCTTGGTAGCGACGATGCAAAGTCTATTGTACACAAGAATAGGCTGTGGTACTTTTAAATATGTTTATAGCCAAACATAAACAACATTCTTAACAAAAATCTTCCAGTGCATTTATATGTAGCTGTTCTTTTTAATATAATTTGTTAAACTTACTGTTCAAGAAGGCTACTGATAGATTTTCTTTCAAACCTAGTTTAACAGTACCTAGCTTCTCAATATATTTAAGAGAACTTATTTATTGTAATGTCCACAAAATTGTTGTTTGCAAAAAAGTGATTCTCATAAATTTTACACAACAAATAAAAACAAACTTGTCATCATAAGCAGTTGGCAATCATTTATGGGCAAACAAATGTATATATATTCAATAAAGTGCCACAAACTATTACCAATTTGTGCTATTTAATGTATATAGGTAGATTATTTATATGAGAAAAATCTATGGAATTGAAACTGCCTAGTTCACATCAGTGTATGTATGACAATTTTATTTTATTTAGAACTAGCTGACCCAGCGAACTTTGTTCCGCCTTAATGGCAATAAATAAGCAGACTTTTTTTTATTTCGAGCGGGATAAAAAGTATCCTATGTCCTTCTCCTGGCTCTAAACTACCTCCCTGACAATTTTCAGCTAAATCGGTTTAGCCGTTATTGAGTTATAAGTGGAGTAACTAACACGACTTTCTTTTATACAGTGTGAGTCACGTTAAAGTGTACATATGAAAATAGATGAAACTAGACCTATTTTTATCGAGAAAAAAGGGGTCAAAAATTTTTTGAGATTTTTTTTAAATTTTTTGGGTCATTCCATGACAAATGTTACCGAAGGTGAAAAACTAAATATGTTCTTTTCGCATTAAATCTGATGAATTTTGAAAGTAAACATTCCAAATTATAATGTGCAACAAAAAAAATCTGAAAGAAACAAGTAATTTTTAAGTTATNCCTCGTAAGACCGAAGAGTAAATTTTGTCGACTTCTAAGTATCGCCGAATGTGCTTTCAGAAGAACGAATAATTTGAAGTAGTAAACGCCGAGCACTTCGAGTAAAAAATTTTCTATGTTAGAGATTTTCTTTTGCATTCTTATTTTCAGGGGCCCTATATAATAGTGCATAGAGCTTATTTTAGGTGAAAAATAATAAAAAAATGTGTTCTCTTAAAAGAACATTCGGTATTACAGACTTAAAAAGGAAAAGTAAATAAATTGTATTTTATACTTTAAAGTAAAACATAAATGTAACCTTCTTAATAAATTAATACAACATAAAGATACAATAATGATATTAATAAATGTAACTGAAAAGGTACAACGGTTTTTATTTTATTTAATGTTTCATGATTAGTACTTTTAAAAGTACTATCGGTTTTATAACATACACTAATGATAGGTCAGAATGTATAAGAAGTAGAGTGAAAATTCATGTTAATTATAATATTTACTAAACTAAAAATCAGAACGTTCTCATGGTAAATTTTCTCAATCATGTCATAATTTTTAAAGTCCAATACTCAATTTCATCTCAATAGAAAAAATATACAAAAATAAAACTTTCACCATCAAGACCGAATGTTCCTTGCAAAGAACTATTATTTTCAAACGAAAAAAAATCTTACAAAACTACTTCAAATTGAGAAAAATAATTTTTTTGCTTGTTTAGCAGTATTTTAACTTAAATTATACTGATCAGTTTTGCAATTAAACTACGTTAACGCGAAGAAAAAAAATTAATCGCACATCACGTCTTCTCGGACGAACCACCTTGTCAAAGGAAAATCATAATTTGACAGTGACGTTTTGTTTTTTTTATATTAATAAGTTTGGATACCTGATTTTGAATACTTTAAGCCATAGACTATCACTCTTTTTTTTCGATAGGCGCGAATTTTTAAACTTAAATTTATCGCTAAAGTTTTAGTTCCTCTGAAGGCACATCCGGCGATACTTCGAAATCACCTCCGAAAATGTCTCGGCGTTACTGACTACAAAGTTTTAGTTCCTACTGATGCACATCCGGGCTTACGAGGTTAAGGCACTAACAATATTAAAATACTATTTCAAAATACATGAAATTGTTGAATATGTGTGTACGAACGTAACACCCGAAACGATGGAATGACCCTTTTATAGAATTTTTTTTCTTCAAATTACTTATTGTAAAGAAAACGTAATAACTTTTAAACTAAGCGGTATATCCTGATAAAATAAAAACAGTAATAATGCTAAATAACAGGCGATACTAAAAAAATACATAAAATACACAAAAAATGCCAAAAAATAATAAAAAATGATACTTTTTGAAAAAAATCTGCTTCAAAATTCGTGTTTTTTTGGTTATTTTATAAATTTCTCCAAAAAATGCCCGTATAACCGGTGGTTTTTATTGCTTTGTATTATTTTCTATCGTATTATCTTTGTAAAACCAAAAATCGCATGTCTCTATCCCTATCATAACATTTGCTATGATCGTTTTAACAAAGGCCTGCCACAACATTATTCTCCGCTACAGGTAGAGACAATTTTAATTTTAACTAAAATGCTTATTTTACTTCGAAATCTTTTGTTTTTATTTGAAATCTAACTTGTTTTTATCAAAATCACAAATCTAGAGCCATTTTCAGTTTTGTTGTTAACGAAGCGTTGAATGGAGCGCCCGGAGAGGCTTAGTTCAAACGATCATTGCAAACGTTGTGATAGGGATAGAGACATGCGATTTTTCGTTTTACGAAGGTAATACGATAGAAAATAATACAAAGTAATAAAAACTACTGGTTCTAGGGGCATTTTTTGGAGAAATTTATCAAATAACCAAAAAACACGAATTTTTAAGCGGATTTTTTTCAAAAAGTATATTTTTTTTATTATTTGTTGGCCTTTTTTGTGTATTTTATGTATTTTTTAGTATTGCCTGTTATTTAGCATTATTACTGTTTTTATTTTATCAAGATATACCGCTTAGTTTAAAAGTTATTATGTTTTCTTTACAATAAGTAATTGGAAGAAAAAAAATTCTATAAAAAATTAAAAAAAAATCTCAAAAAAATTTTGACCTCTTTTTTGTCGATAAAAATAGGTCTAGTTTCATCTATTTTCATATGTACACTTTAACGTGACTCACACTGTATATATAGATTAGTACACAGCACAATATCATTTGAGGTTACAAGATGTTCAAAAGAGGAAGTTTCTTGCGCTGCTTCAGCATATTGGCCCATATTTCTGTCCCGAAGCAGTAAATAAGTGATTAGGTTGATACAAGAACAGAAAATATTTACATAATCAGTAATGTGAAGTTAGATTTGATTTCGAAGTAAAAAAAATGTGAGCTAGAAAAAAATATGAGTAAAACAGTTAATATTAGTTATAAAAAACACAGTTTATTTTTTCATAAAGTTAACATTATTTATAAAATGTATCGATTTACTAGATCAACACTGATGTCCTCGCATTAGATACTATTTGCTACCTGTACCACTACATTTCATGTTTGGCTTGTGTGCTACTCCACAATCAAATGCATACTTAACTTTCACCATTTATTTATTGATTATTGAGAAAACCATTGGCATATCTAGAGTATTTTTTCATCATCCCCCATCAAAGTGAACAAATTATACTTCCACAAATTCCCATCCAGTGCACTGAACGTGGCATGTACATGGCCTCATTGGTTCTTAGTTTGATATCCTGAGCTATTAGGCCTGGATATCTTATGCGCAATAACCGCATGGTTTTTGGGTGGCTATGGTATGAGAACTACCCAGCAACCGGGTGATTTTCATTGTCTGAACCAGGCTTTAAAGCCTTAATGTGTATCCTCTATCATTAGATCTACGATGGCGACGGGCTTCCCGACAAGATTTGTTCCGAGTGCGTACAGAAGCTCAGCAGCGCATACATCTTCAAGCAGCAGTGCGAGCGCTCTGACCAGGAGCTGCGCAGGAACTATGTGCCGCCGCCGGGTGAGTATAACACACGTGAACTTAAAGCGCATTCACGACGAAGTCATTTGTTAAACCAAGAATTATAATATTTATTCTACTGCACCTTTCAGGTTTCAGTATCACGCCCCCACCGCCACAAAACAGACAAAGCAGCGATTCCGCGTTCTCGTCCCAAACTGACATCTCGAACCAGACCAAGCCGTCTTCCTCCAACGAGAACGCCGTCACGCCGGCCAGTCGCTCGCGCAAGCGCAGCCGCGAAAGCGCCGACAACACCTCCGTCAGTAGTCGTTCCCACGACTACGCGCCCGCCACAAAACGCGTCTCCGAACTCCGCGATTCCCAAAAGAAACGCCGCGTCCAAAACTCCTACGAGGACGACTCCGACTACGAGGACCACATGTCGACCTCCCAGTTCTCCGCCGGCACCGACTCCGACGAGCCGCTCCTCAAAAACTCCTTCAAGTGCAAAAAGTGCGAAAAGTCATTCGCGAGCGCCAAAAGTTTAGCCCTCCACAGCCGGACGCACAAAAAGGACAGCCTCGGCCAGAACGAGGTGGTCAACATCCCGAAACCCGCCCCTTCGGAGGACGCGACCGACGACGACGACAAGCTGTCGTGCGACAAATGCGGGAAGACGTTCAAGCTGAAGATAATGCTGAAGCGGCACCACGACCTGTGCGGCGTCATCGCCGAGGTGTCCCCGCAGAAGGAGTTGCTCGTGTCTCTCGAGCCGATCGACGCACCGGTTCACCCGAAAAAGATCGAGTGCGAGATATGCACGTCCAAGTTCAAATCGATCGATAATCTGAACAAGCACTTGCGAGTGGTGCACGCGGCGGCGCCGAAACCGGATCCGTCGCCGGTGAAAGAGAAAAAAGTGTCGGTGCCGTGCATATTCTGTCGGAAGCAGTTCGACGACTACTACGTGTATACGGCGCACCACAACAGCTGCAACAAGCGGCGGGAGTTGGACGCGTTCTCGTGTCCGGTGTGTAAGCGGTTGTCGGGGAAGCGCAGCGCGTTCTTCGTTCACGTGAAGAACCTTCATTTCGAGCGCGGGTTGTCTGGTAAAGAGGAGCCGCGGGCCGAGGCGTTCGACTGCCGCGTGTGCAGCAAGCGGCTGGCGTCGCAGGAGCAGCTCATCACGCACCTGGCCGCGCATATGTCCCACATTGATGAGCCCGAGGCCGCCGCCGACGACGAGTCCAGGTAAATTTTATGATCTATGTGATAAGTAAATTAACATGTGACATAACATACTGAAAAAAAAACGCAAATCTTTTTACAGTACCTACTAAAGTACGGCCAACGAGAAGCGATACAAAAGGTCGATTCGACTTTCGAATTGACATCTATTCTGTCTCTTGCCATCTTGTGTATTTGTCGTAATGTCTTGTTCTCCCGCCAAAATATGTCAAAGTCAAACCCTTAGGCTGGGTTGCACCATCTTACTTTTACTTTGACAAACGTCAAAAATCTGTCAAATTCCATACAAAAAGCACCGGTTATCATCATAGTTACCGTTAAAGATAGGTGGTGCAACCCACCCCTACTATTCCAAATGACAATGACATTGGGTTTGTTTACATTTGGTATCGCTTCTTGTTGGCCGTACTTTACAGCACGCAAGGCCGTACTTCTAATCAATAAAATTATATTTCAAACTTACATTTCCAGGGCTAGCACCTTAGACGATTCTGCATCGATTACGTCGGCGGACTACACCAGCTCAAAATACGTTTCCAACGGACCTTTAAAGTGTGGTATCTGCGACAAACGGTTCACGTACAAGAAGGCGCTGGTCACGCACCACGAGCGCTGCCACGCGAATATGGAGCTGCAGGTGAAGGTCGAGCCGCCTGATAAGATGCCCGAGCAGGTAATTTTATAGCTTTTGGAGACAAAAAACCCCAGCAATGCTTCGGGTTAGGTTAGAATTTATTGCTAAAGTGCAGCATCTGAAGCAGTGAAAATCGGGCCGCCCAATAAGATGCCCGAACAGGTAGTTTTGGGTCAATTTGTAAAAGCGCATTCTAGAGCGAGGGCATCTACTCTGTAAGCGTCTGTCTGTTTGTCACCATTTATGAATTAAAGTAAAAGCTTACAATAGTTTTTATCCCGAGGTTAAAAAAAGCGGGCCAAGCGCGCGATATTCTTTCTATGACAGACCGATATTCCAGGCAAAGTCGCAAGCAAAAACTAGTAAAGAAATAAATGTTATCAATTTAATATACTAACTCATAACTCAGCCATATTCTCTCCAGGACAATCCGAATCTTCTCAGCGAGACGCGAGCACCTTCCGAATCAGAATCGAGCGACGAGGAAGGCGACGACAACACGTGTGATATATGCGAGAAACATTTCTCATACAAGCGGCTGCTATTGCAACACAAGCGCACCAAACATAACCTAAGCTCGGGGACCAAGCGAGCCAAGATCACGCTCAAAGACTGCTCTGTGAGGTGCCTCATCTGTGACTTGGAAATGAAAGTCAGGTTGGTCTTTATGCCTCTATGTTTTTCTCTTGTTTTATAGACCATTAGGGCATTTAACGTGTGATATATGCGAGAAATACTTCTCATACAAGCGGCTGCTACTTCAATATAAACGCACCAAACATAACCTAAGCTCGGGGACCAAACGAGCCAAGATCACGCTCAAAGACTGCTCTGTGAGGTGCCTCATCTGTGACTTGGAAATGAAAGTCAGGTTGGTATTTTAAGCCTCTTTTTCTTTTGTTTATGGGCTCAGCCCTAAAATAGCCCCTTCTTATTTCATTTACGAGATTCGACATGCGTTCAGCCATTATGTAGCATTTCGTGACGTAACATAATAAAAAAAATTAAATCATCGAACATAACTTCTTAGTTCTAATTTCTCGTCAAAAAAATCTATGAAGATTTTATTTCTTGAAAATAGCCGCTATTTATTTTGCAGCACCCCCAAAATAAATGTCATACATTTAATGTAATTTTTTTACGCAGTTACTAGCGAGCACACCTAACATAAACTCATGGTAAGCACACTGAGGTCGGCTCCAAACGTTGTTCCCAACGACACTTTGCATATCTAGAAAACAGTATTTGTTGAGATTAAGCTATTTTCTAGATCCACAACTTGGTCGAGGACCGTTGGGAACAACGTGTGGAGTCGGACTAAAGCCCGTGTTACACGCGCATTAATATTAGTGAATACGGGCGTAATGCTTCAACCAAACCAACGTGTGCAGATCGCCAAAGCCGGCGCGATCATAGGGATATGACAGCATCATCCAGTTAGATGTTTTTATGCGCATTTAGATTTTAAAAACTAAATTAATGTTTCAGCGCCATCAACGAGCACAACCAGAAGCACATCTCGGTGAACATCAAGCCGCGCAACGTTTACACGTGCGCCGAGTGCCAGGACAAGTTCAAGAGCTGCAGCGCGCTGGCCGGACACATCAAATTTGTTCATAGGTAAGTCAATTAGTTAGTTCATAGGTAAGTCAATTAGTTAGTTCATAGGTAAGTCAATTAGTTAGTTCAAAGGTAAGTCAATTAGTTCATAGGTAAGTCAATTAGTTAGTTCATAGGTAAGTCAATTAGTTAGTTCATAGGTAAGTCAATTAGTTGGTTCATAGGTAAGTCAACTAAGCTAATTACACAATTTACACAAGTTTTATTTCAAAATATAGATTGCCTCAACGGGATTTGTTCTTAATGATCTTTCACTTGCTGGGTGATTGCTCTTATTCCAGAAGCGTAGGAACATTTTCAAGCTAGCATATCTCCAAATGGTTAACACTATGATGATGTCGTATGCCAGCAGTATGTTTGTGTTAACTGCCATTTATTACCTCACGGCGTACAAACCGAATCTTGGGAAAGCGCTGATGTACTGCGTCGAGGTATTTTCTTTTTGCACTTGGCTCCCTACAAACTGTTACGTCCCTTCTCTTATCAATTCTCTCCCTTCTGAGATTTTTCGTCTAAACTTCGAAGCTAGTAGTGTATTTATTGGAGACTTAACATTGTAACTTTGCCCGCAGATTAAAACAGCCGCGAGCGCCGAAAGCGCCGCGTGCCCTCGAAGGCGGTTCGGAGTTGGCGGATTTTTGCGAGGTCGTTGTGACTAAGGCGGAACCCCTGGACGCGCTCCAGGATCACAACGACCCCGGAGCAGTTCCGCCCAGTGTCAGCGCCGCCGGGTTTACCTGCCCGCTGTGTACTAAACGAATGCCCACGCTGTTGGCTCTCAAACGGCATGTTAATTGGCATACATATCGTGGGAAAGACCTGGAGAAGAATATTGAATGCGCCGTGTGTAAGGAGGTTAGTTGCTAGGGTCTGAAGCGGCTCTGTCTAGTGTCAGCGCCGCCGGGTTTACCTGCCCGCTGTGCGCTATACGCATGTCCACGCTGTTAGCTCTCAAGCGACATGTGAATTGGCATACATATCGTGGGAAAGACCTGGAAAAGAATATTGAGTGCGCCGTGTGCAAAGAGGTTAGTTGCTAGGGTCTGAAACGGCTCTGTCTAGCGTCAGCGCCGCCGGGTTTACCTGCCCGCTGTGTACTAAGCGCATGCCGACCCTGTTGGCTCTCAAGCGGCATGTGAATTGGCATATATATCGTGGGAAAGACCTGGAGAAGAACATCGAATGCGCCGTTTGCAAAGAGGTTAGTTGCTAAGGCTCCGTCTAGTGTTAGAGCCGCCGGGTTTACCTGCCCACTGTGTACTAAGCGAATGCCCACGCTGTTAGCTCTCAAGCGGCATGTGAATTGGCATACATATCGTGGGAAAGACCTGGAGAAGAATATTGAGTGCGCTGTGTGCAAAGAGGTTAGTTGCTAAGGCTCCGTCTAGGGTCAGCGCCGCCGGGTTTACCTGCCCGCTGTGTACTAAACGCATGCCCACGCTGTTGGCTCTCAAGCGGCATGTGAATTGGCATACATATCGTGGGAAAGACCTGGAGAAGAACATCGAATGCGCCGTGTGCAAGGAGGTCAGTGTCTAGGGCTCCGTCTAGGGTTAGCGAAGCCGGGTTTACCTGCTCGCTGTGTACTATACTAAGCGTATGCCCACCCTGTTGGCTCTCAAGCGGCATGTGAATTGGCATACGTACCGCGGGAAAGACCTGGAGAAGAATATTGAGTGCGCCGTGTGCAAGGAGGTCAGTGGCTTAGACAGAACACATAATCAGGCTCCACGCTCTATCGCCCTGTGTGGTATTTTAACTAAACCGCCCTTAGTCTGTCTTCTTAACAATATATTTCTAGGGGCCTCAGTTTACTCGGGTGTTGCATTCATAATTATCGCAAAAGTCGTGGGATAGATCTAAGGCTTCTTTCTCTACTCTAGTTTGCGGCAAATGTGCCTAATGCCCGTTTTCACCATCAATCCCTAATTCTTAAGTGACCCGTATGAAAACAAAATTCCTATTCAGTGTTACGTTAGGGGTCACCTAAAAATTAGGGATTGATGGTGAAAACGGGCATAAAGGCAAGTTTTGCCTTTCTTATACTTTACTTTACTTTACTTTATTCGGAAAACAAACAGTGTTAATTGACTTATTAACTAAAGAGATGTGGCCAATCCAGGAATGTAACTAATGTTTAATCTCTTATTAGCCCACTAATCTTGCATTTTTCGTTCCAGACCTTCCGTTTCCAATGCCACTACAAGTTACACATGCGCGGGCACTACCGGGACCCGAACTTGGACCCGGTGCACCTCACGTGCCCCATCTGCAACCGCAAGAGCAAGCATTTAAGAGCGGCCCAGATGCACATGAACTACCATAAGCAGACGCGCTTCAATACTGCCGACTATCAGTGCTCGATTTGCAAGCGAGTCTTCCAGCATCGGAAGGTAATTTATAAAGAGTATCATCATCATCATTTTAGTCACAGGACACGTCCACTGCTGAACATAAGCCTCCCCCAATGACTTCCACATCGCGCCTTCCTGCTATCTTTATCAGGTCGTCGGTCCACCTTGTAAGTGGATGTCCCACACTCCGTTTTCCGGTACGTAGCCTCCACTCCAGAACCTTACTGCCCCATCGGCCGTCAGTTCTGCGTACTATGAGCCCTGCCCATTGCACTTCAGCTTGCTAATCCGTCGGGCTATGTCAGCGACGAGTTCGTTTACGGATCTCCTCATTTCTGATTTGAACTCGTAAAGTCGAGCATAGTCCTTTCCATAGCACGCTGTGCAACTTTGAGTTTTTTTATGAGGCCTATAGTGAGAGGCTACGTTTCGAAGGACGAGTGTATCAGCGCAAAGGCAAGCAAAGAAAACAAAATAGAAAATATGTGTCCAATATTTTTTATTAACTGTCTCGACGGACTACATAGAATGTCGATTTCATCACCCCAATTGTTTTTTATAAAATAAAGTTATTTTTCTTTTCTTTCAAGGTGTACCTCTCGCACATGGCCATCCACTTCAAGCGCGGCGAGAGCGGCCAGAACACCATCGTCGGTGACGTCACGCCCAACAACGCCGACAAGACGCGCTTCGACGGAACCAACACCTGCCACCTCTGCGGAAAGGTCTGCGACTCCGAAAACTCGCTCAAGCACCACGTGCGATGGCACAACTCCAAGTCTTCCTTATACGGAGCACGCCACGAGTGCCAGTTCTGCCAACTAGTCTTCACGAATAAGCGCCGTTTAGAAATCCATATAAGATCACATTACGAGGACGACAACGGACCCTTCAAGTGCACTATCTGTGGGAAGGGATACATCGACGAGGAATACTTTCGAAGACACGTTAAAGGACACAACTTCGACCACCAGTCACATAAGGATAGAATCGATAAGTTAAGAAAGGATAAAGTCAAGTGCCCGATCTGCGCTCGCTTCTATCCAGACTTGATCCATTTGATACGGCATCTGAGACGCACCCATCCTGAGAGCAAAATGATCAAGACCGATCCTGATGCGCCGGCGCCGGTCTACTTTTCCTGCAAGCTGTGCGCCAAAGTGTTTCTCGACGAACGCCGCTTCCAAAAGCACGAGGAGGCCCATATGAGAAAGCCGCAGTTCTTCAAATGCAAATTCTGTGGGAAAAACACCATCTCGATGAAAACCCACAACCTCCACATCAAGGGTCACCTAACCCAGAAGTACCTAGACGAACCGCTGAAGTGCATGCACTGCGACGAAAAGTTCTACAAGGGCTACCATTTGCACCACCATTTGAGGGATGCGCACCAGATCAATGAAACGTGGATCGCCGAGCGCACCGAGCCCACTCTTAGCGGGCCTTTGAAAGAGTTCCAGTGCTCAGTTTGCCTGAAGGTGCTCGCCAGCAAAGGAAACTTCGAGCGGCACATCGACTACCACAATACCCTGCGTTGCAACTACTGCTTCGACTACTTCAGCACCATCCGCTTCCTGGAAGGCCATCTGGCCTTCAGCTGCGACAAGAAGAAGCTCCTCGGGGACACCGAGCCCCATCTAAGGAGGATCAAGTGCCACGTCTGCTACAAAGCCTTCCACTTGCAGGTCAAACTGGACTGTCACTTGCGGACGCGACACGGGATCAAAGTGAATAAAGAAGCGTCGAGCGGGAAAAAGGAGTTCGTCTGCGATTTCTGCTTCCGCGTATTCGAGAATGAGGACTCGCTGACCGGGCATAAGGTCTACCACCGAACCATCGGCTACTACGGCTGCATCTACTGCAAGCGGAAGTTCAACACGCTGACTTTGTACCGCAAGCACAAGAACCACCACTTCTCCCAGCTTAACGTCGACAACCCTACCAAGTGCGAGCACTGCGACGAGACTTTCGTCGCCTTCCGCGAGATGATTTACCACATGCGGGATGTCCATAACGACGATAAGGAGTGGATCATCATGCCTAAAGACTCTATAGAGGAGACGTGCCCGATATGCAACAAAGTGTTTTTCAATCTACACAGACATCTGGAATACCACGAGGAGAACAAGTGCAAGAAATGCAACGAATACTTCTACTCGCGCGCCGATTATGACAACCATTTATGCTCGATCGAAAGCGACGACGAGGAGGCAGGCCCGAGCGAGAATAGCTCGCTTCCGGCGTATGAAGAGTGCGAGTTCTGCTTCAAGCCGATCACGAGAAAATCCTCGAAACGTAAGCACGACATCATCCACCGCGGCTCCGGCTCGATCTCCTGTCGTTTCTGCCCGCTCAAGTTCAAGACCATAGACGCGTTTAACATCCACGCGTTCTCGCACCGCAGCAGAAAGTACAATAAGCGGCCGATTAAATGTCGGAAGTGCGGCGAGAAGTTCGTCAAGTACGGGCCGTTTATGAAGCACATGAAAAACGTGCACAAATCCACGAAGAAAATTCACTATCGTGCCATTGTGAAGCCGGAGAGATGCGTCGTTTGCGGAGGAGACTTCCCCAATCTACACAATCACTACCGCGCGCATTTACTCAACCAATGCCAGCTTTGCGGCAAGTACTTTTCGTCCTCAAGACTGTTCTCGAGACACCGCTGCGACCAGGAAGACGCCGATCCCTCTAAAGTGTTTGTCTGCGACAAGAACCTCGACGCGCTCATCAACTCATACGTCCCTAAAGACTTGAAGGACGACGAGAAGTTCTACGGGGGTTCCGAAGACGAGGATGAGGAAGAACCGACTGAACCGCCAGTTGCTTTAGAGGCGAAGGAACTGAAAGCGTCGATGTCTCAAGACGAGGACAGTCAGGCTGCCGACATGACATTCTCGCAGGACGAAGCCAGCCAGGAAGAGAAAGAATTCACTCAAGAGGAGCGGGAACTTCACCAGATGGTATCCTCGCCGATCATATCCGACGTGTTATCGTTGTATCAGCAAAGCCAAAGCACCGAAGACCGCAAGCAGATCGTCAATGAGAAGGATATTGTTTCCCTGATCGACGACGATTCGTTGGACATGGACGTCGTCAGTATTCCTGTAATTACGATTGATTAACTCGAGGAAAAGTGGTCACATGAGACCGCGGTAACAATTGAAGTCTATGATGTCTCGATTCTCTGGTATAAATGGATAAATATCCATGAGTGCACACGCGCATTACAATAATGCCGCTCGGATTGCTCGGATCGAACTCCCCGCACGCGGGGACCCTCGACCGAAAAGTGGTGGGGCGCATCTTCGTGGATGAAACGATCTATACTTGATAGGTTAATCGATTATTCGGAAATTAAATCGGACTTGTACACGATAATCGATGGAAATATTCGAGCTGAAATATTTAGGCAGCATGGATTAGTACAGAACAGATCAGAGGCGGGGCAAGACCTAAATTTGATGTGGGCAAGACAGATTTCGCGAGGCCTTGTTCTGTGGCGACCTGAAGACGGATTTTATGAAATAATAAAAAAAGGGTCAAAGGTCTATACATTGACAGTTTCTGATTTCTTGATTCAGTGATTATTTAAAGAATAATGTTCGTCACTTAAAACCGTGTTGTTGCTTAATTTTGTGTCTGATTATGGCTGAATTTGTTTGGAAAAAAATATATTTTTATTTTTAACTACATTGTTTAGCTATCAAGAATTTATATTTAATAGTCAATGTTCGTATTGTGATATTGTCATCTCCACCTTGTATACATTTTTTCAAAATTTTTGATGCGCGAGGCCCCTTGTACCGCGAGGCCGTAGGCGGTGGCCCACGTCGCCTACGCCTTACGCCGCCTCTGGAACAGATGTACTGGATGGAAAGCATTATTATGTAACGTGTCGTTGCACTAACGCAATTAGTAAAACTGATTTTAACACTATAGGTTTTATAGGCCACATTTAATTAGCAACTACCTTCAAAAAGGATGATGCAAACCAATCATGGTTAAGTATGATTATGAATGAATGATTTTGAATTGATAAGATTAGATACTATGACAGCTTAATCGTCAATACCCTTTTTTATATGATAAATCATGTAAAGATTTATATAATACAGATTGATGATTGACACTAAATTATATGACACAAGTATTTAAAATGAGAAGGCTTTATTTTTTAGAAAATTATTAGATTAGGATGTATGGTGTTAAGTGTAGGAATCTAAAAAAATGTGTCTTTAAACGTCGCACTTTAAAAATTATACATTTGGAATGTTGAATCCACTATAATGTTAATGCTACCATTCGTAGATTCTATACTGTATTTTAAATAGGTGTTGTGTCAGTTGTATGTGCTTTGATTAATATTGTAATCAAGTGAGTGGCAATGGGTATTGTATTTAGCTGTTTTTGACTCTAGATTATAACTGTTATTATTGATTTTGTCGATATCTTTTTTCTAGATCTACTGAACCTCACCAGCTATTGGGCTGCCATATTTATTGTAAATATATTTTACGCCATAGTATGTATTTAGGATTCGGTATGTACACTCGCGGTCTAGTTTTACCGCGGTACGGGGTTATTTTGCGAGGTGTTCTTAGATTATAATGTTATTATATCGTCACTCCACTATAATGATAGACAATGATTTTATAGATCACTAGTAATTTGTGGCGTACAAAATAATATTCACGTTATCTCTTCCAGCTGTAAAATATGCCTGTGTTAAGTGTGGGTTCACCATAAGCACGGTAGTTCTAACGTAACATCACAGTTTTCCAATAGTGTTTAGTATTTTAATACCACTTTAAGGTGCCTGTATTCATACAGAGAAGAAAATTAAATATCATTGCAACTATAGACAAATATAGAAATATACATAGTTTAGCATTTCTAGTTTCATTATGTAGACACATACATATTTTTACAATAAATTTTGGTAATAGTTAATAAGTTATTAAACTGCAATTACTCAAATATTAGAAATATTTATCTAATGTAACTTTAACTTGGAAAAAAATAGGATTTTTAATGTCATGTCTTGTATGAATGCGATAGATTTTTTATTGCATTGTATTTGTCGCGTGTAGGTAGGCCACGGCACATCAAGACAAACACTGGCATCTTAAGTAGTTTGCTAAGTGATATTTTGCAGTTAAAATTGTATAGTCTAATGTGCTGTCGACTATAAGTTATGTACTTTCTGAAATGTTTCACTATCGCGTACTGGATACAAGTGTATGTTTTGCAATATTAGCAAGCTGTATTCGTTCGGACGAGGCTAGGGCGACGAAATGTAATCTAGTTTTAAATTTAATCAGTAAACTGGCATCTTATACAGAACAACAATAAGAATAGGTCACGCAGCAAGAGCTGAGGCGATCAATGCATGCAAAGATTTATGTCTAGCTAGATGTACCCCGCGGTAAAATGTAGCCTATACACAGACTCACAAACATAATGTATTAGTGTGATGCACTCGCCACGTTGACGTCTTTTGCGTAATCTGACTACAAGGTCTTTCTGTCTCGCTTGCACACATTTAGCAAGAGCGAGGTAGCTAATGTATTCGATATAATATTGAACTTACATGTGTTTTGTGTTCTGTATTTAAATAAAAATATAAATACATTAGTGTGAATATGTGTTCGCCTCAACTTTCGCTGCGCGATCTATAGAAATTATTTTTGGTCATTTGAGAGCTGTTTTGATACTGACTCAGTTTAAGAACTGGATTATAAATTAATTTGAATTGATGCTAGCTTTACAATATTCATATCTTTGTGCTAATAACTTATAAGACTTCAGTCTTTAAAACTATGTCAGACAGTATATTTTTCATTGCGAATGAAAATAAAAAGATACAGACAAGCGGGAATTATTATATGATTTGGAAGGAATTAAACAGTTTTAAAGACTGAACAATCTCAGTTTAAAAGTATTTTTAAAGAAATAGTAGTATTTGTGACTGGTGTATCATTCCGAAGAGTCGCGTTGATTGTGATTGCCAAAAATGGATGTTTAAGTTTGAATTATAACTGAATATTAGTTAGATTTAGCGTGACTAAGATAAAGTAGGTTTAATGGTTCTTTTGTAAATGTTTCATGTATGAGTAGGTAGTCGCATTACATTACGTGACGCAGTTATTTTATTGAGTGTCCTAAGCTGATAGACAGAAAACAAGGTCAATATCAGTATAAAATATGCTTCAAGGGTCTTATGAATTCACTAAATACCTTTATGAACCACAGGCATTATGTGAATGTGTTGAGTGACCTAACATTTTCTGTCTCTGAGCCTATCACAAGTTATCTTTTGTTTTCAGAATGTTATATTTGTTTTATTTTTTCTTACAAATTATGTATGTCTTCGACTTCAAAGAATTTTAATCTTTTTATCCTGAAAATGTTAAAATAAATAGATTATACTAATCTGTATGATTTTATTCAGTCATTAGCACCTAAGAATACTGAGGTAAAATAAAACACTTAACTAATTTTAGAAATGATCATTTTTATTTGTCAACATAATGTTACAGGTGGTATTAACATGTGTTGTTAGTCAAATCGCGCTCGTACACCTCACTTCGATAACATTCAAATAGAAAACAAATTCAATATTATAAAAATAGCTTTGCGCCTTTTTACAATATACACAGTTGTGTGCTTATTAATTACAAGTGCTGGTTAATGCTGAGAGTATGACCACAATGCGGGTAGCTCTGTTGAGCGAACGACTATGAGTTATAACAGCGTCTTATTGTAGTGCCTATATGTATCTTTTTTTCGGGCTTACCCCATGAACAGAATATAAGAGTAGGGGAGAGATCCGAAAAGTACCTTACAAATGCGCGACTCAGTCCACGCTAAATTTGTGGCTGCTACCGGCGATCGAATTGGTTTCAAAGTCCGCTCAACATGAGTTTCCGAAAACATTTACCTACATAATGGGATATTGCGAAACGATAAATGCGTAAATAGGACAGTCTTAAGTGTAATGATGAAAACGCCTAAGCAGAAGTTAGTGTAGTCCAATCGCATGATTAAAAAGCAGGCTCCCTCAGCACTACAGAAGTTACGAGCAAAATAATAAAATAGACAACTCAACATCATCAGCATCACTTAGTTATTTATTGCCACGTTAAGTCTATCGCAAAAAAATTGCGCTGACGAGTGAAGAAGCTAAAGCTGTATATCCACTAGGGGACAAGTCCCAGACACGTGGCTTATTCCACTATTCCCCGTTGACAAAATCCGTTTATTAGGATTTTATTTTTAACGTAACGTAACGAACAAAAAGTTCACTAATTCCCGTTGACGGGGATTGTCAACGGGAATAATGGAATAAGCCAGACACATGACGTTTCTCTTGGCCCGAGTTCACTTGAACGTGTCAACAATACTTTTTCCACAGTGAATACAAGGCCTAATGCTATGTAGAAATCACAATCGTAAACCTTACATGGATCTATATGAAACCTAACTAAATATGATTAAATTTAAACGCTTTAGAATCACCATGGGTTCTTCTCAGTCATTTTACCTAATTTATATTATATACACATATACAGAAAAATATTAAGATATACACGTCATACCATATAGCTTAACGAATGTCCCATTAACATTGTCACATAAAATATAAATAATAATATTTGTTATTTTAATAATTATTGTTAAAATAATTTTCGTGGTTACATTATGCACAAAACCTAAACGTAAAACATTTTTTTTTGCTTAGAAGCATATAAAGTACCTAAGAATTAAAAGGAAATTATTATGCGTTGTAAATTACACTTTCTCTCAAAAAATACTCATCGACTCCGTACCTACTATAAAATTTGACCAACATAGTGAAATATAATGTTCTAAGGGGAAATACTAATTTGGTCAGATTCCATTTGGAGTGTACGGTAAACTAACCAAAAATACTATAAACCAAAATACTGAATTGTAACGAAATAATACCAAGTAGATTCACTATGTGCGGCTCATCACACACACACAAAAAATCGTACCTTTTAAAAAGTGAAACAACAGTCTTTTATTAGTTTCACTGCGTACGAAAATAAGACACCGACGTCGAAAATAGTACCCTACTCTTCTGATGTGAACACTGAAGGCTCGATATTAATTAAAATGTCCCGATCTTACAATATAGACTAAGCAAAGATACTGTTGAAATGATTTTCTGTACTATCGCCTGATTTATATCCGATGTAGACACCTCTCGCTCCCACAAAATACCGAGTGAACGAGCGGCAGCTATTACTATAGATTACTCTTAAATTCGAATCGCGATTCGATGAGTGCTAAGCCTTCACTTGGTTTATTCATCTGATATGGTTCTTTAGTGCTGTAACTGCGACACAGCACCTTGACTAGTACATCCCTACACATTTTACACGAGGCACTGAACACTAGTACTAACACATTGGCACACCAATCACTCATTTTTACACACTATTCGTAGTACAAATGACAGCGTGGACAGTTAAAAATAATAGAAATTGTATGCAATATACATAACTGGCCAGACAGAAATTATTAGGCCTTAAAAAGATGCGTTGTCATTTGTAATATCAGAAACACTCCGCTGTAAACTGGGGGACTATTCCGCAAACGGACTTTAATAATTTGCCCTAAACGACTCTCACTCATGCCACCTTTAAAAGGTGAGCGAACGGGTATAATCTAATACATATAGCGAAATGTTTTTGCGGAATAGAGCCCCAGTTTCTATTTACATTTTAAACTCTTGTATGACACTTTTGGTACGTTCACGTTTTTATTAAAAAAAAACATTGGTGTGCGTTCATGACATGAACAACTGTATCAAACAGTTACTATTTTAAATAAAAAAAACGTAAGTCTTTGCCACAGGGTAGAAACGCGTGGCGTGACCATAGTCCATAAAACTATCTGTTATTTCAACTAATTAAATGTTACATAACTTATTCATAATTCACATATCAATCCTGTGTAATTTGATCACGTGTTAAAATATAATCAACTTAAATATACACATACTTAAATAAGTTAAGCTATAATTAAAAAGATAAAAACTATACATCTTTTCACTTTAGCGAAATCATAAATCATCAACTTATTTATCGGTCACAAAAATATTGTGACAGTTATTTGAAGACCAATGATATTTTATTGGAGTTGTAAATTGCTATAAATGAGTTATACGCCCGTATTCACAAACAATGCTTGCATAAGTGAAGCAGCCGTCGCAATCGAACGCACAGCGTTGAATAGAGCTCTATAATTGGTTTGTCACCTGTGCGTCCACGCGCACAGTGAGACCTCATAGTAATGTTTGTGAATACGGGCGATAAACCCGATTACTGGCGCATGTATTAAGTAGTTAACTAGGTGTAAGTTTTCTATAGTCTCTCTTTTAACTGTGCACTAAAGTAACTGGCACTATAAAATAGTTATCAATTATTGAGCAGCTGTGGAAAAACTGCCTTGAATAACTGATCTGTGGTACGTTTGTTTATTGAGGACTTTCATATTTAAGGCGAGTAAGGTCCTGTCACTTGCTAATATCTATGACAGTGGCGCCCCGTGGTGAGCGCTTATCCACATCATATATGAGAACTGTCGTATTTGCACTCACAACGTTGGCGACGCTGCTAAGGTGCCACCTGGTGAGCGCAAATATGAAGGCCCTTCATTACTCTCGATGGAAACTTGTGCTAAGTAACAAACTAGTGTTTTGATCACATCAAAACTTTAGTATTCTAACGGCCGAATACTGAAACGCCATTTAAATATTTGACGGCTTCTCAAATAGTTAAGCAGCTCCTAAACTTACATTTCGCATACTCAAAACAATATCTGAGCAGTTCTCAATTTTTAAGCACCTCTCAAATTAAGTTGCACTCAAACGCCACTTAAATGAATTTTCGCATACTGAAACGCCATTCAACGCTAAGCATTACTCAAACAACTGTCAAATCGTCTTAAGCAGCTGTTAAATTTGAGAGTGCTTGCGCGGTATCTTAAATCCTATTGTTATACCTAAAACGACCTAAATAGTGGTAAATAATGTGTGTCATCGTTATCATTTCTTTCGAGCCTCGAGGAAATACCTAGATCTAATCGCAGGAACGCAATAAGGCTGAACGCTATTGAAAAATATTATTATAATGACATGCAATTCCGAGCGAGGTTCCGCGTCTCTAAAGAAACGGTGTTGTTTCTGGATTCATAATTTGGAAGCTCTTTGAAACCCCTCACCAAATGCCATACAACCAGTGGACCAAATACTTATTATAACCCTACTGTTCTACGCAACGGGAAGTTATGAACGTGTACTAGGTGATATCTTCCACATCTAACAGCCAACTGTGCATCGTATAGTGCACGAAGTAACAACCAAAATAGCTGCTATGAAATCGCTTTACATAAACATGCCTATTTCTGAGGATTAAGGGGACATCGCATAGCAGCATTTCCAAGAGTTGTTGATTTGTCAATTTGATGCTCTGTCAGTCAACAATGATAAATGTCAATTGTGGTTACGTTTCGGTCCACGATCGCCACTTAATAGATTTCAACAATAAAAAGTATCATATTTAAAATTATTTTTTTAATTAAATAAAAATGCAAGCATTATTATTTTTATATGATAAAACGAGATTTATATATATAGAAACTAAAAATTAACTGTTCTATGTTAAGTTGATTGAGTATATTATTTCCATAAAAGACAATACATAACCAAACGATGCTGCGTGTAATGGATAAAAGACGTAAAGTTATCATTTGTGTAAATGAAAACATACTTTTTTTGGTAAATGTTGCCATTATGTAAACATTTGAGAGCTGCTTAGCTGATCACGGCTTCAAATCCGTTGAGTAGCGTTTGAGAATACCATTTAAAATTGAAGGATACTTAAATTTAGGAGCCCGTCAGCTGAGTGACAGATTTGAGTAGTGTTTCAGTATTCGGCCGTAATTATCTTGGGTGCAGTGGGACTACTGACGTTCATTTATATTTATGAGCTTGTGTTGAGCAATGTTAACTTTTCAGAATTTGAGCTATTTATATTTTAGTATGCAATTTTTTTTGCAAAAAAAAATCTAGAATATTTTTTACGCAACATTAGGCTCATTGTAAACAAAATATGTCCAGCATTTTAAAACCATCGTAAGTAGGTCAATATTATGGCCATAGACTAATTGCTTAAGTGTAAAATGGAAGACAATGACAAGATAACATACTTTCTAGAATAACATAACAAGCTTAATAAAATATCAGAAATAATAAAATAATTAATTACTTCACGTCTATGACCATAATATCACTTTTCATAAAGATAATAACAAAAATAAGTAGTTCGTCGTAAATATTGGGAGCATTTTGCACAGTTATAATTTGTGGCGTTGCATAATTAATATTTTGATTTTGCTTTCTTTTAAATACACGAATAAATAATAGTACATCCCAAACACTGAAATACAGCAGAACTGTATTGCCTTCTAGTTTAAACAAGTTGTGACTGTGGTCATAGTAGAACAGTAGATACCTTGACTTTTTTCACATCTTGAGTAGCGGGTTGTGTAGATACCTTGAACGTGACAACCATTTACGGTGTCCATAAACCTCATTTTCAGCAGAACCAGCTTCTATTGCTCATCTGCTGTCCACAAATCTTTACATACAATTGCAACGGGATTGTGAAAGATGTATGGAAACTAGCGCCACCTGTAACTGAACGTGGCGCTGTCATTGGTGGGTGTAGCAGTCGCCCTAGCAACTTGTTGCTAATATCTGTAATACTCATGTGGGTTCACTATTAATTTATGGTGTGTTTAATAAATCCTATTCTCAGCAGAACACTAGTGATCGCCTGCTGTCCCCGTAGGTAGCAACTGTTTACAAAGATCTTGCGGGTTCACTATTTATGTTATTCAGACATCTGATTCTCAGCAGAACGCTAGTGGTCGCCTGCTGTCCCCGTAGGCAGCAACTGTTTACAAAGAGCTTGCGGGTTAATTTACGTTATTCAGACATCTGATTCTCAGCAGAACGCTAGAGCTCGCCTGCTGTCCCCGTAGGTAGCTGTAACTGTTTACAAAGATCTTGCGGGTTCACTATTTACGATATTAAAACATCATTCTCAGCAGAACACTAGTGATCGCCTGCTGTCCCCTTAGGTAGTAACTGTTTACAAAAATTGCGGGTTCACTATTTACGTTATTCAGACATCTGATTCTCAGCAGAACGCTAGAGCTCGCCTGCTGTCCCCGTAGGCAGCAACTGTTTACAAAGAGCTTGCGGGTTAATTTACGATATTAAAACATCATTCTCAGCAGTTTGCTAGTGCTCGCCTGCCTTGTGTCCCGGTCAGTCGTCCCACTCGCCGTCGCTGGTCTCGTCGCTGTCGGAGTCGGAGTCGGAATGGATGGCGCGGTTGCGCTCCTGCAGAGCGCGGGCCAGCGCGCCCGCCAGCCCGTCGCCGCACGCGCGCGAGCTGTCGCTGGCCGTGTTGCTGGTGGAGCGGGACACCTACGCAGACAAAAGTATAGTTAGCTTATGCCTCGTCTGTAGGGTAGGCCTTATACAGAAGCTCTAAGTTGCAAATGGAAAGGCTATCTATGTTCGGTGTTTCTTTACGAGATCGAATCAGAAATGACGAGATCCGTAAACGAACTAAAGTCGCTGACATTGCCCGACGGATTAGCAAGCTCAAGTGGCAATGGGCAGGGCACAAAGTACGCAGAACTGACGGCCGATGGAGCAGCAAGGTTCTAGAGTGGAGACCGCGTAACGGAAAATCCACCCACAAGGTGGACCAACGACATTGTAAAAGTAGCAGGAAGGCGCTGGACGCAGGCCGCTACCAACCGGGCAACATGGAAAACATTAGAGGGAGGCCCATGTTCAGCAGTGGACGTCCTATGACTAAAATGATGATGCTGATGATGGGTAGAGCCATATGAATCCAGGACGAATTGTTAGAGGGGTGGTTATGAGACAAGTGGCCAACTTTAACCATACAGAAGAAGAGTGTCTACATCCCACTGAAAAGCAAAGAAGTTGTCGTCATTTGTGGTAAATTACATCAAATATGGTGGGATAGTCACCCACCTATCATCGAGCGCGGTATAGAGTACTTTTTTTTAGTGTTCGCGATTCACGCACAGACTCCACCGAGTTTTGCGTGCGTATCTGTTCAATGTGTAACAACAAGCCAATAGCTGTCCACAGCTAACGATTGCTCTAAGGAGTAGAATTTCCTGCTTTTTTCACCCAATCACTAATAACTTGAAACAGTCCACAGAAGTCACTGAGTGAGAGAGCTATAAATGTGCTAAGAAGAAGAAATAATATAAAGAACAATATAAACACTGCACTTACGGCGCGCAACTCGACGCCCTGCCGGATCTCGCTGAGTAGATTGCTCCTGCTGTCTTCCACCACCGGCGGCTTCGCGCTCACCTCCACCGGCTGCAACAAACACACATTGTGCATTAGAGCAGTAATAGTAAGAGCTCAAGATTATAATTTACTTTGATTGAAAATAATCTTGTACGGACAGCTTATGCTTAACAATGGAGTCGGCATAGACCTACCAAATGACAACAAGAAAGGCACCATCAACCTTCAAGCTCTTGTTTTCACTGCGTATACTCTCCACGAGCGCCGCTCTCGGATCCATAGCCGCGGGAGCGGGCGGGGGCGGCGGGGCCCCGGGCGGCATGGCAGGGGGCGGCGTATGCTACAGAATGACAACAAGAAGTCTCCACTCACCTTCAAACTCTTGTTCCTATTGGGTATACTCTCCATGAGGGCAGCCCTTGGATCCATAGCCGCGGGCGGGGGCGGGGGCGGCATGGTCTATAGGATATCAACAAGAAGGCGTCACTCACCTTTAAGCTCTTGTTTCCACTGCGTATACTCCATAAGTGCCGTCTATAGTAGGCGCGGTAGGAGAGAGCCCCGCCTCCAGGCATTGTGGGAGGGGCGAGCGACGGCATAGACCTACAATATGACAATAAAAAGACCATCCACCTTCAAACTCTTATTCCCACTACGTATGCTCTCCATGAGCGCAGCCCTTGGATCCATTGCCGCGGGCGCAGGCGGGGGCGGCGGGGCCCCGCCCCCAGGCATGGCAGGGGCGGCGTAGGCTAAAGAACGACAACAAAAAGACATCACTAACCTTCAAGCTCTTGTTCCCACTGCGTATGCTCTCCATAAGTGCCGCTTGGGGGTTTATAGTAGGCGCGGTAGGAGAGAGCCCCGCCTCCAGGCATTGTGGGAGGAGCGAGCAACGGCATAGACCTACAAAATGACACCAAAAAGATTCTGCTCACCTTCAAGCTCTTGTTTCCACTGCGTATGCTCTCCATAAGCGCCGCCCTTGGATCCAAGGCCCCGGGTGCAGGAGGAGGCGGCGGCGGGGCCCCGGCCGGCATGGCGGGCGGCGGCGGGGCCCCGGGCGGCGCGGGCGGTGGCGGACCGCGACCGGCGACCGCGACCCACTGCTTTATATGAATTAATAGGAAGTGCTGACGGATGCAAGCGACCGAGTCGCGCGACGTGTGGGCGTGGCCTGCCGGCTACTTGCGTCGCGCGACTCGGTCGCTCACAAGGCAGTGCCGCGGCGCGACAGATGCAAAATGGCCGTGTTTTCTTCGCACGAAGACGAAATTTTAATAGAATTAGTAAGTAAAAACGCACCTGTATTCGATACGAGACTTCAAGCTTATAAAGATAATACTGTGAGAGACAATATTTGGGAAAAAATTGGAAAAGCATTAAATAAAACAAGTAAGTTCAAATGATACATATTTTTTATTAGAAAAGGTACTTATTTTTATTGTTTACAGATAGGTACTATTTTACTTTAACTGCAAACATACTGAGTTTCGTATGGGTCGCACGACTCGTGTCGCGAAGATTCGTAAGTAGCTGTCGCCCTGCGACCTGCGACCGGTCGCCGCTTACTAATTCTATTAAAATTTCGTCTTCGTGCGAAGAAAACACGGCCATTTTGCATCTGTCGCGCCACGGCACTGCCTTGTGAGCGACCGAGTCGCGCGACGCAAGTAGCCGGCAGGCCACGCCCACACGTCACGCGACTCGGTCGCTTGCATCCGTCAGCACTTCCTATTAATTCATATAAAGCAGTGGGTCGCGGTCGCCGGTCGCGGTCTCGAGTCGCGGTCTCGCGTCGCGGTCGTCTTGATCCGAATGCTACCTTTAGATTACATGTATGTGTTTGACAAGTGGGAGCTCTAGGTCCACACCAACGCGTGGCCAATGACAGGTCGCGCGATCTGTCATTAGTGCCGGTGGTGTGGAAGCTTAAAAGTGATCTAAATAAAAAACATAAGTAATAGCATTTTTGTGAGTTATAAGGAGTAACACATTAATAGCTTCTAAAAACTTTGTGGCTACTTAACGGGTAATATTTTTATGCGATATATTATGTGGTTACAACACAATGGCAACATGAGAAATGTTAAATATGTAAAATACACAGCAACAAGCTGCAACAAAAAGTGTTTTTGTTGGCTGGGCATTGTTATCAAAATGTGTGAGATGTCCAAGGATGAGTTTTATGTGCAAAATACGTAATTATACACCCATGTGCCATGGTGGGGGAGCGTATGAATGATACACGGGTTGTAGTTAGTCTCTGATATTAATCTCTTTATTAACACGAACTGCGTGACTATTTATACGATATAGATTAAAGGTAAATGACGTCACAGCATCAGCACTATACGTGATAAATGTGCTGACACTGTGAACGTGATCAAGATAAGATATGAAGAGATTTAGTATTGTGCATACCGGCACAGTACTCCCCCCCTTTAAATAAGAAAAAATAAAATAATGCGCTAATTACAATAACATACATAAATTATCTACGTTAATACAGGTTCAATGTTCAATCACTACATACTTACATACAAGAAATAAAAATAATGTGCTAATTACATAATACAAATTACAATAACTATCTACGTTATGTAAATGTTTATAAAGATGAGAATATAACAAAATATAACCACTGGCTTCTTCCTTATCTGGCGTTTTCACAGTCGTGGGTTGCCCTCGCGCAAGCTCGGCTTTACGCGATGGGTGCGCTGTAGTCACAGCGTTCATGCCTTGTGTCCTTGCACATTTCATAAGCGTTATCGGCTTCTGAAGACCAAAGGATAGGCGAATTATCATTCTTGAAATATTCAAAGTATTCAACTTCGATACGCGGCTGCGTAATTTTCTTAATTCCTTAACTGTGTTTCACTTCATCGATTGCTTTGATTTCTGCTCTGTTGGGCGATTCCTTGGCTCGTTATCGGATAACCTAAGAAATATTCGCTCTGGAGGGACTCACATTTTTCTAAATGATTGAATTCCCAAGTTAAGAGTCAGCTTTTTCTCATCGTAAGTGTTTATCTTTGAACCATTCGTGGCATATAACATATTGCTCATTTAGCATTGTTGCTTATCACTTTTACATTGCTCCTGTAACGATTAAAAAACCTCATACCACTTTTTCAGTCGGTAAAAATAAGGCGGTTAGACGGGTAGATAGCACAGAAGCCGTGCTGGCTGTGCGATTTTTAGTTTCCTTGTTTCGTTTGTTTCCAATCACATGGTTTTTCACATTTTTCTGCATACGTTGATACATATCATAATAACAAAATCTTCTTACTTGACTAAGGCGACCTTGGCCTGTAACTGCTGCGTCGCAAATTTTCACGGTCATGGCACAATTATTATTTCAATTGCACATGCTTTAGTTGAGTTAGCACATTTTCTATTGTTTGGTCTTGAATTTTGCTGATGTTGTAGTTGACTGTTGAACTGCTGAGACTTCATTATTTTGCATTCTCTAATTTTTATTAGCGATTTGATTCTTTTGAAGTTCCAAGACTGATTCCAGCTGCACAGACGAGGTTGGTCCTTTCAGAAATCGGGAATACGGACGTGACAGGGGTCTGGCAGCGACTTCTTGTGGTGTTGTGTTGCACGGAGTTGACATATGTTGACTATGATTAATGTTGATGATGTCACGGATTTGCTCTGCTCAATCGGGGTAGCCAATTTGATGTCATGGCAGAGATAGTGAGGATGGCGGAGGCTGATGCCGAAGATGGTGGTGATGGAGGTTACTTCTCGTGTTTATCTTCGTCGTCGTTCGTCGGCTAATTTGTGTCATCTTCGTCGGGTTCGTCGTCGGGGTCACCAATTTGTGGCAACTTCGTCGGGATCATCTTCTTCGTCGGGGTCACCAATTTGTGCCATGGTGGGGGAGCGTATGAATGATACACGGGTTGTAGTTAGTCTCTGATATTAATCTCTTTATTAACACGAACTGCGTGACTATTTATACGATATAGATTAAAGGTAAATGACGTCACAGCATCAGCACTATACGTGATAAATGTGCTGACACTGTGAACGTGATCAAGATAAGATATGAAGAGATTTAGTATTGTGCATACCGGCACAACCCACAAAGACAGACGACCTCATAAAGGTAGACGCGGGTTGAAGACCGCTATCATCTGGCCAATCTGGTAATCATTAGAATAGTAGCCTCATTCACGTAACAAAACTTCAACGACAACAAATCGCTGAATGCGATCCTATCGAGTAATCGTTCTATCGAAATGACTCTTATGAAAACGGATTAAAAATGTTTTTCAATGAGATGACGTAACAAAACGTCAATGACAACAAATCGCTGAGTTGCGATCCTATCGAGTAATGTATACTATCTATACTAATATTATAAATGCGAAAGTAACTCTGTCGGTTTGTCTTGCTTTCACGCCTAAACCACTGAACCAATTTTGATGAAATTTGGCATAGAGATAGTTTGAGTCCCAGGAAAGGACATAGGATAGTTTTTATCCCGGTTTTTGAACAACACGCGATAAAGTTTTTCTGTGACAGATAAAATTCCACGCGGGCGAAGCCGCGGGCGGAAAGCTAATCGTTCTATAAAAATTGCCCTTGTGAATACAGATTTACAACTGTTTTTTAATGGGGACGACTTCTGAACGTCAGCGAGATCTTGACTGTCAAAAAACGTGAATTAGGCCACAGGTCTGTTCAGTAGTGGACGTCTGCTGAAATGTTGCATAAGTAAATAGACTCACGTTGCAGCGGGCGCGGCGGCGGCGCGGTCCGCGGCGGAGGCGGCGCGCTGGTAGGCGGTGGCGGCGGCACGCCTCGCGCCGGCGGCGGCGGCGGCGCGCGGGACGCTGGCGAAAGAACAACATAAGTTGCAAATACAACAGACGTGTTCAGTACAATTGCAGAAATATTTTCATGAAGCAAATATTATATTGCAGAATTATTTATTTATTTCATCCACGAAGACACGCTCCACCACTTTTTGGTTTAGAGAAGCGCGGAGTGCGAGGACTTTCGTATAAGTAATCTCTTCGTCAGTGACTGACACTGAACGAACTTACAATATTCTGTGTTCGTGTAATCGTGTAAGGCTGCCCTTCAGGGCTGCATAGTTCGTTTTAATTTATTTATTTCCATGTCCAACGTCGCCAATTATTAAATAATATAGCATTCCACTAATCCATCATTTTTTATAATTAAATAATGTGTTTCTATGGAGACTTCTTCCATAGACATGACAGCATCCATAAATGCACACGCACAGTACAATAATGACGCTCGGATCAAACTCCCCGCAATCCGCGCTTCCCTCAACCAAAAAGTGGTGGGGCGCGTCTTTATAGATGAAACGATCTATAATTGGGTCTGGGAAAAAACAAGTTTGCAAAAAGACCTGTTAATCTAATAGGAAATATTGGAAAAGGACAGTGCCAGGGTCTGGACCAAGTGTTGCCCGGAATCAACCCATAGTGCATTTTGTTCCTCAGGCCTATACTAATGTGCAAACCGAAGCGCACTGAAATCTATCCCTGGAGTTAAGAGAAAAAAAGAGTTTTGTTTTGAATTATTTACATACAAAATATCATCGATGTATACGTACTACGCATAAGATTTCACGATTGTGGCATTAAATAACACTCGCTATGTTGAACTTAACCATACTGCATCCGTACACGTTACTTTAGTGCGATTTAGACATTCTTTATAAACGATCTAGCGCTGTTTTAATTGTTTGGTAAGTTGACAGAAATTCATTATTTCCAAAATGAAGCAAGAAGTTTTAGGTCTCTATCCCTGCATAAAATCAATTTATTGGTGTATTACAACTGATTATTGAAGTTATTGCAGGGATAGATTGGCACTGTCCTTTGCTGGGATGTTCCCTACAAAGCAATATGACGTAGTGGGTAAGGATATACTTACGGGGTGCGGGCGGGTGCGGCGCGGGCGAGCGGGAAGGCACAGGCGGCGCGGGCGGCGCCGGCGTCGGCGGCGGCGGCGGCATCGGCGTCGCTGCACAGAACGATATTCAACCTTATTACCACACGCAAAGACTTCAAAGTAAATAGCAGATCAACATAAGTAACTGGAGTTCCCTTCAGTGTTTCCATGCGTGATTGTATCTTCTTCTGATTCAAGAATGAGGAGATCCGCAGAAGAACCACAGTAACTGATATAGCCCACCGAATTGCGAAACTAAAGTGGGATATAGCACGTAGAATTGAGTGCCATTGGGGCGGAAGTTTTCGAATGGCGACCACAATCGCAATATGAGCAAGCCGTGACTTTTACAGAATGCATCTGGATTGGCGCAACATAGGACCGGTGGCTGTAAAAAACCTTGAGGGTTTTTGTCCACTTGTGAAGGACGAGGGAAGTATCTAGAAGCGGTCAGCGCAGGACTGGTAACTAGAAATTCTTGGGACAAGCTTTTGTCCAGCAGTAAAGCCTGGTCCGTGAGCACGTAGAATTTTGTCCAATGACCCCAAGCTGCCCATCCTTGTCGCTCGCGCGTAATTATATTGCTGTCGCGACTGTGCGACGCGCGCCTGCAGTGAGTATGGGTAGCTTGGGGTCATTGGACGGGATTCTACGTGCTCACGGACCAGGCTTTAGAAGCGGACAGCGCAGAACCGGTAGCTAAGGAAATCTTTGGGACAAGCTTTTGTCCAGCAGTAGACGTTCTCATGCCGCTCCTCCTTCACGCGTGTGCGTGTTGGCGAAGTCGTAGATGAACTGACCCGTGCCTTCTCAGACGATAGACTTTTAGAGGTTCAGTTCTAGAATGTTCCGTAGCCTGTGGCTGATGGTACTTTCTTACATATTCACCTGATTAGCTCATTGATACTTCTCTATATTCACCTTTGCTGGGCTTGTGGTTCTCATGTAGCTCCTCCTTGACGGCGTCAAGCCCGCCGTGCACGTTGATAAAGTTGTAGATGAACTGGCGCGTGGCGTGGTCCTGTAGCTGAGTCTCGGAAACACCCGGTTTGGAGAAGAACGAGCGCGTCTACTGCTCAGCTGGGAGTTACTTAGCTCTTGCAATTCGTGTGCGAGTCTGACTAGTTCTTGACCGGTTAGTTATATTCAATTTTACTTAAGTTCTTCTCGGACTTTCCCCACGTGATCGAATCAGAAAAGAGAAGCGGCACATGGTTGAAATGACGATTGCCACTTACCTCCCTCCCATGTTTTAGATAGGAATGGCGGAGTATGCGCAACACCATCGTGTTACAGTAGAACATTGTTAAAGTCCGGTCGCCGAGTACTGTCGCGACTGGGCGACGGGCGGCCGCAGTGAGTGTGCGAGCGCGACAGCAATATAATTACGCGCGAGCGATAAGGATGGGTAGATTGGGGTCATTGGACGAAATTCTACGTGCTCGGCGACCGGACTATACAGGGTGTTACTTTGCATTCTTGCCATATTTACAGAGGTAACTATATTACTGATACTGAACANTTGATATTTCCACCATCGATATTTTTAGAGTGGATTGGTAGTAATAAAAAATGTAAGGAGTGATAAAACTTAAAAAAAAAAACTGTCGTGACTACGGACGGACAAACACAAAAACAAATTTGGTAAATTAAATTAAGATGTCTTCTTTCCTGTAGTCGGGTTACCTATATTTAGTTAAAAAAGTGTATTTACCTATTATTATAAGCAAAAAACATGTGTCCTTTGTTAGGGTATATCGTTATTTAAGTGTAATAATATCCATTTCATTTACATTATAATATTACTTAGGCATGTGCTGACTATTAATGAAATATATTAATTCATTACATTTCACATTATAATATCATAACATTAATTAATTGAAATGCCAGTGAGATTAACATGCACAAAGCAAAGCTTTGTACCTACTTAGTTTGTAACACATCAAAGGGTATTTTGTGTGAAATACTGACACCTCCCACGGGATCTGAGATTTGTGTGATCCTGGATAATTTTATTTTGAATCTGACCCAAATAGAAGCCAAATAACAGTTATTTTATATTAAACTAACTTTCCGCCCGCGGCTTCGCCCACGTGGAATTTTCTCTGTCACAGAAAAACTTTATCGCGCGCGTCCCTGTTTCAAAAACCGGGATAAAAACTATCCTATGTCCTTTCCCGGGACTCAAGCTATCTCTATGCCAAATTTCAATTCCATCAAAATCGGTTCAGTGGTTTAGGCGTGAAAGAGAGACAGACAGACAGACAGAGTTACTTTCGCATTTATAATATTAGTATAGATTTTTATTTATGCCACATACGACTGTTGTGGACACCCTCTGCCCCATCTAGGGGACATTATAGGACCTTAAGTCAAGTAAGTTATTTATTTATGCCAGCAATTAATTTTAATATTCAGTAACATTAATTAGCTTTATGTTTTTCTAACTGCCTTTTATTTATTCAGAAATATAATACGAGTAGGCATTTAAATCTATAATAATTAGCTGCGATTATTAAATTGCATACTAAGTAGGATCTAATAATTGGCTGTGATTGTTTAGTTAATTTAATTTTTTTGTTATTTGAAACCTAGATATTTTAGTGGTTGTTGTACCTAAGTAGCAGGTTTCGTGTTATTTTTTAGCTTGTATACTTGTAATATAACGATTTGTATTTGTTTTCAAACTCTACGATAACCACTGAACAAGAAGACGCAAAAGATTATTGTTTTGGTGAAACTAATGGTTCCAATGAGCCGCTAAGACATGAAAGACAACTCAATTGGGCTAGCACGGCTTAACGTGCCTTTGAAAGTTATTCAGGTCTGTTAAGAGCAAAATGACGATTTGTAAGAACTATATTTATTAGTCCAAACAAATAAAGAAATTTTGACTTTGACTTTGACTTTGACTTTGACTTTGACTTTGACTTTGACTTTGACTTTATCTAATATCCCAGCCTTTTGTTATTAAAACTCATAGCAGACTTATCAACTTGGAAAGGGATCAACACAGTATCGCCTTTCGCGCGCTGTCAATTGCGAGGCGAGGCGTTAACGTTACGGTCTCGATACGTCACGGTGCGGATAAGTGTGCGTTGCAGTATGGAATGTCATACAAAGAAAACTTTAGGGCATTTCCTTAGTCCAATCAACGTTTGGACCTAACATAACTTATTATATGGTTTTTACTGGGTCAAAAATAAACTAGTTTTATCGGAAACATTTTCGAAAGTTATTTTATGTTTATGTTTATTTAACACTCCTGGGAATAAGACCTCATATGTATAAGGATAAGGAGAGTTAAGTAAGTAAATATTTGGACTGAAATATATAAAAAGCTGATTTTCAAATCCGGAGAGTTAACTACAAACACTAATAGAAACTAGGTGGACCGACGATCTGGTGAGGGTCGCGGGAGGTGCCTGGCTGCGGACAGCGTAGGACCGGTCGCGTGGTAGTCCTTAGGGGAGGCCTTTGTCCAGCAGTGGACGTCATTTAGCTCATCATCATCATTTCAGCCATAGGACGTCCACTGCTGAATATAGGCCTCCCCCAATGATTTCCACGCCAATTGGTGGCGGCCTGCATCCAGCGCGAAGGCGACCTCATAAAGGTAGCGGGAAGCCGCTATCTTTATGAGGTCGTCATTTGGCTGAAACGAACTAATTGAAAGATTCAAGCTTACCTCTTGAGCCTTCTTCGCCAGCCGCGTGATCAGGTTCTCCGGGTACACCTGGTGTACCGAGAAGGATGGTTGTTCAACCCCTGCCTGCCGTCGGATGTCCTCCCAACGTTCCTCCCCGTATGTCTGGCGGATGTACTCCGCCATGTTTTCGAGGAGAAGGCCGTACATGGCGAGGCCTGGAAGAAAAGGGGAGGTTAGTCTGTAGAATTGTTTTTTTGAATTTTGGGTTTCATTTAGGCTTCAACCACACCAACGCGTGCAGATCGCCATCGCCGGCGTGATCATAGGCTAATGGTCGCGCGACCTATGACAGTTCACGCGACCTGTCATTGGCCTTGAACTCGCCGACGATGGCGAATCTGTAGGCCTAAGATGCGCGCCGTGATAGGCGGCCATCACGCCATTTTATCGATTTTGCCCATACAAATTGACGTCGATAAAAATTATCACGGTGCGCATCTTAGGCCTACTGCACGCGTTGGTGTGGTTGAAGCATTAAATATAAAATGTTGTCAATGGTCAATTAGAATTCTTCAATTGAAATGAAATTTGAGATTCCTGAGAGTGGATTCTGTGGACTTTCAAAATTTTTTCCATGTTCTCGATGAGAAACCCGTACATGGCGACGTCTGGAAGAAAAGGGGCTGCTAGTCTGTGAATTCTGATGGTTTAAATTTCAATTTGAGGTTACATTTATTATGAAAAAAAAAGAGAGTTGTGTGGAGGTGGTCCACCTAGAACACCCGTTTTAATAGCACCTACACGAAAAGATTCTTGCAGGTGCTATTCGGACGGGTGCTACCTCGTACTACGTCGTGTGAATGTCTTATTTAAAGTGTTTTTGTTTCATCTGCGCCAGAAAGAAGGATATGTTTTTGTTAACAATGCACGACAAACAAAACACTGATCTTTTGTATGTAGCTAGTTGTAATAGGTGTGCAACATTGCTGCTGATTTCTTGTAGGTACGTTCAAATAATTAGACGTCTTTACTTAGCTAGTATATTTTCAAATACAGCGTTGATCGATTTATTTGTTTTATAATTCTACCTAAGTATGAAATGTTTTAAATTAATAAAGTTATTAAGTTAAGTTGGGCTTATCCTATTAGTTTACGGGTCGCCTGAAAACCACACGGCGGCCTTCGCTGGAGTATGGTGTGAACTACGGGAGGTAATTTGTGGCCAAACTTAATTTCATTAACTTAACTTCGAAATTAACTATTAAATTAGACCATGGTGGTGTAGATATTAAACTTGTTAGTTAATCGCAACTACAACTTGTATAGCTAAACTTGATAAAATTAGTTATCGTTTTGATTCTTTAAAAAAGTAATTAGTAGTGAGATGAGGGGCTACCATAATACATTGTCTAGACACGAA